AATTATGGGATAAACAGCATCCACAATAATTTCTCCATATGCTTCACCATTCATACGTGGTGGGCAGCGAACCAAATAGAGTAAATTATATCCATTTACACATCCCCAAACCATAATTAATTTTCGACCACTTTTAACGGTTGCTTGTGTACAACTTTGATCATATACTTCTTCTTTGCGACGCCAAACTCAAATTTTTCCATTTGAGTCAGTGCTGACAGATGATTCGTCAGTCTATAAAACACATCGCCAATCTTTTTAGTCCAATTTTTATGTTCCTTGGCCCAATTATAATGTTCACGTTGTGCTTTTTTTATTAAGAATAGTTTTTTGCGTGCAATATAAGATTTAAAGCCATTTTTTTTTAATGTTTTTACCAGGGTACTTGGGGCTATAGGGGGATTGGAATTCTGCAGCAAGAGAACGTTTTGTCATTCTTCACATTGAGGGGTTAGATTTTACTTTTCTTATAATTAAACGTTCATAACGCTTATTCACAAGTGGTTTTTTACCACTAGACTTTCTTTTAAGGTAACTAGAATTATCGGTTAAACATAATCATTTAAGACAGTTTTTAACAGAAGTATCTGATCTACCAAGGATGCGTGCAATTTTGGCAGCAGACATTCCCTCTTTTTTAAGCTTTTTTACTGTAAAGCATTCAGCCTCCGTAAGATCTTTATTACGACCCATTTGTTTGTACAAGCAAAAATTTTATTCCAATTTTCATTTAAATAAACCTATTAACAAAGGCGTTTGCCTTTTGTTAGTGCGTAGTAATATGCAGATACAATGTCAATTGTTAAAAGACAATTATCATTTATGATAATATCGAAGATATCACGATCAGCCTAATTTTATATGATGTGTCTGTACTATAATATAGAAAAATTAAAATATACAAAACTTGCACTGGTAGAAAGAGAACATAAGACTTTCTCGAAGCAATTCAAGATGGAAAAGACCCCATCTATTGTATTATAATAGAAGAAATAGTTAGTTACATAGTAGAATTAAAAATAGCTAATGGAGTCAAAAGATTATTAGTAAAAAGGGAAAAACAACATGTTAAATTAAAAGTGAAATTAGAAGTAGGTTAGAGCAAAAGACTCTAAGAACAAAGAAAAAGCTGACAGAGACAGCTTAACAAAATAGCCCTGAATTCTACAATATATCAGTTCAAAGAATCTATCAAGACTTCAGCAACAAACCAACAAGAAACAAAAAGAACAAGCTGCCGAAATAAAGTTGAAGTTAGATATAGATTGGAGCAAGAGACTTCAAGAACAAAGAAAAAATCAACAAAGACAGAATAATAATTCAGATTTAAGGACTCTAATAACGTATTTTAAAGTATCTGTCGAACTCACCCTAGTACGCCAAAAAAGACAAAGAAGAAAAATTAGAAAAGAAAAGCAGAGCAAAAGTAAAGGACAAGATGTTCCTGGTCTCACTGAGACTAAAGCACTAAACAAGATTCAAGAAGAATCAAGACTGAAAATTATATTTGCAACCCCAGAAGATTGGTTAACAGAAGTAATATATCAAATTAGCATTAAAGACGATTCACAACATAACAAGAAAATGTGGAAAAAGACAAAAAAAGATCTTTTGGCCAAATAGATATATAGAATGAAGTCCCAATGGAACTTGAATATGAACTCATTGCAAAGCATAGTAACACCTAGGCCTAGGGTGTAAAAAATTAGAAAAAGAAAAAGAAAAATACATTATTGGGAATACTAGAGAAGATCTTTGTAGAATGTCTTAAAAATCAGAAGATCTTTAATGAAATACCAAAAAGATTCTTGAGAAGAAAACCAAGTTTCAGAAAAGAAAAGAAGAGTAAGAAGACCAAGAAAAGAAAAAAAGAGGAATCCTATTCCCACAATATGGAAAAAAGTGAGCTTAGGCAGACTGATCAAGACCTTGAACTAAAGAAACCGAAAGAAAACCTAAAATACTTAAAGAAAAAAAAAGGCATAAAAGAATGTTTCTAGAAGAAACTGATAGATCAAGCCCTTAAGCAGAAGAAGAAAAGAAGTACAAAGCTATAAATCAGGAAGAGAAAATTATAGTAAAGATCAAGAGAAAACTTTCAAGACCTGAGTCGCAAATTGGAAAAAACAGTTTAAACTGGAAAAGAAGAAAAAAAAAAAAAATATATAACGACGAACGAGGAAATTCTGGCAATATCCCTGTGTTGAAGGAAGAAATTGTTTGGTTTATTCATAGAAAATTAGGTTTAGAACTTTGTTCAAAAAAGGTGAATAGATTAGAAAGAGAAAATTGCCAATATAATATAGTTAAAAATTTATTCGTTTTGAAACTATCTTGTGATGGTTTACTAGACTAGCTTGGTATAGCCCTC